AGGCAAGATGGTAGGGGCTTATAGCACAGCTTGGGAAGCTGGCAGATCTGGGGAAAATTCTGTCTCTTCTCTGTCTAGCTAATAGTCTCCAGTTTCTCAAAAGCAAAATGACAATAACCACATCATAATAATATGAGACAATACCCAGTACATAGCAAGTAATCAATAAATGATAGCTTTTCTAAATTATTATTATCATCAAGGTATTTCTGTATTAAAGCTCACATTATTACAAAGGGAAAGGGGAACCGCTTCCCTGGGAAATAGGAAGTCTAAGAAACAAAGACCCAGGGAGACTTTTAGGCTGGTGCTCTCAGATCCTGGTGGGTTCCAGCAGATTAACATCAGGAAGGTTATTGCAAAGTCCTTACTTGTAGTGGGGAAATACTGGTGTTAACAAGCTCATCTTTGGAGCAGGGACCAGAGTGAGTGTCCAGCCAAGTAAGTAGAGTGGGGCAAGGGTGGACATTGACAACTAATTCTTTTTTGTCCAAGAGGCTGAGTTGAGCCCAGGTATTTTCTTCAGTAAGATCCCAAATGGTTCTTTCCACTCATCCCTCAAATATCCTCCCATCTAGCCCTCAATGCCCCAGAAACATCCTTAGTCTGGGACCTAAAGAATCATGAAGCACTTGATGGGCAAGTAGTCCTGGGCCTTCCACGAGAAGATCCAAGACACTGCTCCCCTGAGCAAGGAGTTCTGCTCTACTAAATTATTGGTTTATTAAAGTCACAACCTCCAACCCAGAGCACTACAGCAGGATGGGGCAGGAGGGAAAGGGTTGGACACATCCGAGACAAAATCTCAACACAAAAGAGCAGAAGGTCTAACTCTAAAGAGGGTGATTTTCCAGTCCTTATGGAAAATCAGTGCTTTTCCTATTGAATGAAGTAGGAGGTAGGGCCAGTGAGTTTCTGTGCTGGTGTCAATTGCAGTGTGCCTCTGGAGGAATGACTGGTAAACTCACATTTGGGAAAGGGACCCGAGTGTCCATAATATCTGGTGAGTCATCCCAGATGGCACCACTTGCAACCCATGGGCCAGTGCCATTAATCCTTGCCCCTGGGAACTTGGTGATGACTATGGTAAGGCCAATTGTGGGTGTTCTAACTGATTGCCTTACAGAGGCCTTTATGAAGGAAGAAGGCATCATTATCAATCTTTAAAGTCTGTGTTTCTCTAGGTCAAACACATTAAAATTGAACTCTAATTGTCCAATGGATATTTTTAAATGCCTTCAATGTGTTCATCACTCAGTAAAATATTAGACTGAGTATAGAGACGTCTTAGATAGATTTCTGACCTGTCCCCAAATAGGATAAAAACTAGCAAAAGGGACAGAACTATTGCAAATTCAGCAACCTAAAGACTATTTTAGTATTGGCCAATTGATGATGTCAATAGGCACATTAGAGATTCAGAGGAATAGGGTCTTGGCCGGAAAGTTGGCCTAGATGGAGATGGCTTTCTTTATGCAGTAGAAAAAGGTCCCTTGAGCCTGAAAGATAAATAAGATCTATATGAACAAAGAAAGGAGAGAGAGTGGGTTCCAGGCACAAAGAACAACAAGAAAGAGGGCATGATCTTAAGATTAAACAAGGCACGTGCAATCAGGCATAAGTCTGATAATAAGGTTAGATGGAGAGAAAGGCAAAGATGTCTTCTTAGGCAATGAAGAAAATGAATATGAGAGCCTTCAGGAGAATACAGACAGTCAAGGCCATGGCCAGCCACTGGGAAACAGAATCCAATTTAGAAATGCAGACCAGATAGGAAGGTGAAAGACCAGCTCTTTCCATGGGTAGCTCATGGCCCAGGGGCCTCGCCTCTCCTTTCTCAATGGGCTGGAAGAGGGGTTACCCCCTTCCTCAGAGGAGAAACTAAGGGTTTCTGTAATGGAGATATTGGAAGTGGTATGGCAGTGTTGCCTCCCAGTTGCAATATGGCAAAGGCACCAGAGTTTCCATCATTCCCGGTAAGTCTTCCCAGGAAGTGTTACTGCTTCCTAATGCTCACCGGAGCCTCGGCAGGATTCAGTCAGTTTCTCTTACTCATATTTCTGGGTTCCTAGGGTCTAACTGCAAAGCACAGATTTCGTGGTAAGGGAGCTTTCAATCACTGCTGTGGCCCTGGGGACCTAAAGCACAGAGCATTGGGACACATGCTTTTGTGGTTAGTTTTGAATTCAAATGAAAGGTTAGGATCTAGAATAGCTGAACGTCCACGTTGAAAAGTCTCGCTAGAGCTGCCTTCGGAGATATCGTCTATGGTAGGACACGTTTATCTTGCTACGGTGGAGCAGGATGCTTTTCTCCCAGAAGCCCTTAAAGCCCTCGAAATGAAAAGTGACTTATTTCTTGTTTTCAGATAAAAATATTAAGGCTGCGCCAGAGGTACATGGGAGTAAAAGTAAACTGGGGCTTAAAAAAATCAAGTTTAGGGATGAATACCAGCTTCTTTAACCAAAAAGCCTAATAAGCAGAAATTTTGCAAACCTGATGGTCAGTAGCCCATGTATTTATTCAGCAGTTGTTTGAGCACCTCGTACTAGTATGTGGTAGATACCAGGGATGGGCAGTAAACCAGAAACGGGCCTGCGCTATCACGGAGCTGACATCCCAGGGAGCCAATACTCTTAATGGGCATATAAAGGGCTTGAGAGAGGAAATTCAAGATTTGGAAGATTATGGCAGACCCTGAATGTCATGCCAAGAAGTTTGGCCATTATTCAACAGGCAGTAGAGAATCCCTGGATTATTTAGAACAGACAGTTCTAGCCAAGTACTTTGGAGGATGAGCTCAAAGAGGAGATTGAGAAGGGGGATGTGGGGAGAGGATGAGCAAGGGAGGAAATCAGAGATAGGGAAGATGAACAGGAGAAACAACAGCAAAAATGCAGATAGGGAAGCCCAAAGGGTATTAACTGATAAAAAAAACAGGGTGTGAAAAAAGCTAAAAATCGCCTCAATTATTCTGACTGCATTTATTGCTATTTTATTTTGATCTCTCATCAGCAAAGCTGAGCAATTGGTCTGCCCCTGGTAGTCACCCCTCACAAACTTCAGGATGGCTTTTCAGTCTCACACTCAACTCCTTCTGTCTTTCCTCAAAGTCTCATGATCCGTGGCATTGCTCTCTCCAGACTGATGCTTTCCAATAGGACTTTCTGTGATGTGGAAATGGTCTATCAGTCTGCACCATCCAATATAGCAGCCACCTCAGAAAATGAGATTTTAATTTTTAACTGAATTTTTAATTTTATTTAATTTTAGTTAACTTTCATTTAGATAGCCACATGTAGCTAAAGACTATCAATCATATTGGACAGCGTGGTCTTGACCTTCTCCAGCCTGATACCCACTGGCTCTAAGACTTAAGTGAGTGTTGAACCAGGATTCAAAGTTGGGCATCTGGCCCCCATAGCCATCCCTCCACCCCTTTAGGCCAAACTGCATCTGGTGCCAACTTGTCCTCTGTCTTCTTTTGGAGGCCACATTCTCTCAGCATCTCCACATCTTCATGCTCCCCTTCCCAGTCATGCCCACGACTCCCACTGATGACTAAAAAATCCTTTGGGGTGTGTTGGTCCTGCTAATGACTTCCCATCCCTCCCCTCCCAGTAAAAGATTTATGTCATAGGACCTTAACCCACAGTGATGCCAAGTCCCACAGTACACGGAGATTAGAGGGAAGCTGGCAGAATCCTTCGGGGCCAAAGCTTTGGATGTCCCTTACATGTGACCATGGACCCAGTATGCTCTGCTGCTCCAGGGGTCGCCCCACCCGCAGGCAGTTCTGCCTTGACTCAGCATCCCAAGACCATGCCAAGGTCTAATTTCCCGTTTCAGGTCCAGTTGGATGTCTGCATTGCCAAGGCCACCCTGGCTGGCTCAGTAAGTGGGGTGCAGCACTAGTCTGAGAAGCCTTGTGTGCATGGTGAGGAGCTGTGGGAGCAGAGAACCACAGGGGCAGGAAGCTGTAGTCCCAACCCTGCTGTAATCTCTCTGGGTGGCCCCAATGTGTTAATCCTCCCTGCAAACCTCTGCTTCTTCCTCCAAAGGCAGGAGGTCTGAAAGAACAAACAATGAGAATTACATTAAAACACTAAACCTTACGGAAATGCTGAAAAAATGATTCTCAGCGCTGAGGAAAAGCCTTCAGCAACTCCTGCTTCCTGGGGGTGAAGAGTAGAAACTATGCATTACTCGGTAGCACATTGCGGTAACAATATCCTGGTAGTATCAGTAGCTACAACTACTTATATCTGTTCAATACTTTATTAAATATAATTTTATATGGAAAAATTCTTATTAGTTTCTCAGAAAAGCCTACTTAGGAAGGTGAACGAGGTAACATCTTCATTTTACAAATGAAATTCCTGAGATTTAAGGGGTGGTATGACTTGCTCAGGCTTGCATCTAATAAATGGTAGAGCCAGGGCTTGGATAGAAGTCTTCGATTTATAGTCCAAAACTTCTATAGATGTGAAAAATCTCCTAGTAGTGTGACTCACCTTCTAACTTAATTCCAGCCTATTGTAAATTTCCAGGTCCTACCAATGCCCAGCATAAGTGGGAGAGGCCAAGCCAGATTCCAAGATGTACAGTTTTCGTTGCTGGGCCTTTTCTCTATGCTCACTTGTCCTGCCAGAGTTGTGTTTTCTATCAGGCCTGCTGAGCATTTGAAGAGGTTCCCATTGAGTAGAAGAGTGAGTGGGCCTTCATTTCTGGTTTCCTTGAATGCAGGCAGGACCTGGCAGAGGGCATTCACTAAGAGCCTGGCTTCTTGGCCAGGACTCATGGCTTGTACCTGTGCCTGAGTCCCAGTCTGTTGCAAGCAGGTGGTTTCTAGAATGTTCTTTTCCATCTAAAGCTTGAAAATGTCACCTGCCAGGCCCAATGAGTCCTGCTCTTGCCCATCACTGGCATCTGGACTCAGGCCTCGGTTGGGACAAGGAGAGAAACGAGCATCTCCTAACCCAGCTCCTTTCGGCCCACAGATATCAAGGACCCTGACCCCGCTGTGTACAAGCTGAGAAACCCTAAATCCAGCAACGCTTCCGTCTGCCTATTCACCGACTTTGATTCTAAAGTCGATGTGCCACAAGACCCGAATTCCACTGTGTTCAGCTTTAACAGCACAGCGCTGGACATGAGGGCCATGGATTCCAAGAGCAACGGGGCTCTGCACTGGAGTGACAGCCCTGATTTCATGTGTGACGACACCTTCAATAATAAGACCTTCTACCCCAGCTCAGGTGAGTACAGCCTCCCTGCCTGTGCAAGCAGAGTCTTCCCCCTGAGGCCTAGCTGGCGGGAGCTCTCTCAGGCCGATGATAACTAAGTGCTGCTGTGATTGGTGGCCTCAGCTTCATCAATTGTCAGCAAAGCCCCCTTGTTACTGAGCACCAGTGAGCCCCATCCCGGCAGGCCACAGAATGTCCTGGGCAAAAAGAGAAGGGGAGAGGGGGGCAGGAGAGGGCACTGGCTCTCGGTCTCACTCACTCTGAGTTCCCACCTCCCTGCCTCTGCTTGAGCTGTTTGCCCCGTACCCCTCTTCCAGGCCCCATTCTAATGCCCTTCTCCAGTTCCCTCCCCTTGTTTCTTTTTCTCAGCCAGCCCCTGACCTCACTCAGTCATTCAACAACCACTGATTGTGCATACATGGAATGCCAGGCACCGGAGTGTAGTAAAAAAGCCCAGTGAGGGGTTTCCCTAAGGAAACTTCATTCTAGTTGAGGAAACCATCCGTCAGCAAGGAGAAATCTATATAGCTTCAGATTATAGTATATGCTTTAACTTGGAGTTGAGGAAACAGCCACCTTAGGGACAAAAGTCAGGAAAGGGCTCTCTGGGGAAATTTATTTGAGCTGAGATATAAAGGATAGAAGCCATGCCAAGGGCAGAGAAAGGACCCTGTGGAGACCTGAGGCAGGAGCTTAGAGAGAAGAAGAGCAGTAGGAAATGAGAGGGAAGAAGCAGGCAAGGGCCAGATCAGAGGGCCTCTCAGATCATGAAAGGGCAGGTATTATTCTAATTACCATGAGAAGCTATGGTCTGGCTTTAAGCAGGGAAATAACATTTGGTTTACTTGCTAAAAGAGCACTTTGACTGCTGGTGGGGATTGGATTGCAAGAGCAAGAGTGGAAGCAGCAAGGAAGCTAATGCAGCAGAGAGGTGAGGGAGGTCAGGACAGGGTCCCCCAGTTGGGACTCAAAGGTAGAACTACACAGAGATGAGAAGGAAAAGAGGGTATCAAGGAAGGTGGCTGGATTTTATGCCTGAGCAGCTGAATCAATGATAGTGTCATTTCCTGAGATGGAGGAAACAAAGGAAGAAATTTGGGGTACAGGGATGGACGACATTACAGCATCTATACCACTATGGCACTTGTCACTGTGTGTATCTTATTGCCTCTATCGGACTCCAGCCTGGAAGCTGCCCAAGGGCAGGGTCTGTGTCTCACGGTTCCTGTGGCCTTGTGTCACGTAACATGAACTTTGCACAATCAGTGTTTGTTAAGTGAGTGAAGTGGTGCCCAGAAGCCAGGGTGTTGGTCCGGGGGCTCTCCCAGCAGGTGCCCACATGTGACAAGTTCCCTCCAGCTCTCTCCACGAGGAAATATGGAAAATGCTATAGACACTCACTTGTCCCACTCCTAGGAGGGCTGGAGTGGGAGAGTCGGCACACTCTGGACTCTAAGAAAATTTCTTTTTTTCTCCTTTTAGGATTTCCCTGTGATGCCACGTTGATAGAGAAAAGCTTTGAAACAGGTAAGAGAGGGGTCTGTCCTCTCTTTTCATGGCTTTGCACGGGTTTGGGGAGCAGTGAGCCCACAGTGACCCTGCCTGGGTAGGGGAGGTTAGAGGGAACTTGTGGATCTAGGAGTGAAGTCCTGAGGATCAGGAACAGCAGTCCAAGCCCTCCCCAGAGCTGCCGGGGTCCTTTCTGGATCCCCAGGTTCCTCTCATCATCTCTCATTTTCTTTTCCATTCTGAGAAATTGGAGGCTGAGTCTCTAGGTTTACTCACCCAATGACTCACTTCTAGGCTTCTGAATGCCTTTCAATCACTCCACTGTCAGGAAAGCCAACAAGGGCTTCTGGGCGGCCCAGCCGTGACATTTCTAATGAGCTGACAGCCCTAACCTAACCAGGTCACCCTGAGGGCAGCTGCCCTCCATGCCAGGGGGTTTTGCCTTCTTTCAAGAAAAGCAGCAGAACTCATGCAGATGGTGATCTTCTCTCTCAAGGACCCCATCCCTCCTCCCCGCCTACCCTGGGCCCACGTTCATTTCCACTTGAGCTGTTTTTATGAGTCATCTGCTTGTGGCTCAACCGCTGGCTTCTCACTTAGGGGCCCAGACCCAAGGGATTGCAGTGAGTTCTGAGCACCCACCTCCTCCCCATCCCCTGACGGGCTCAGAAATAAAATAAGGACTAAGTGCAGTCGCTGTTTCCCTTTTGAAATGAAATGCTATTGATCCCGAGAAATGTACGAATTTTAGGAGGGGATGTGCACAGAAGCTCAAAGGAGAGGTGGATCCAGGTGCTAAAAGCCACCCCACCCTGCTTTCGGGAAAGCCATGGGCAAGCCATAGGGTGCTGTGCAGACTTCAGGTGCACATGCTTATCAACCACTGTGGCCTCTTGGTTTTGCAGATATGAACCTAAACTTCCAAAACCTGTCAGTGATCGGGCTCCGCATCCTACTCCTGAAAGTGGCCGGCTTCAACCTGCTCATGACGCTGCGGCTGTGGTCCAGCTGAGGTGAGCAGGCATCTCCGCCAGTCGGTGGGGTTTGAGGGTCTTGGGGTGGGTCCCCAATTTCTGAAAGCAAACCTGTCCTCAGGATCTTCTTTTTAGGTGCTAAGTCTGGGCCCACCAAACGCCTCCGTTTTTTTCCTGTTAGGAGTTCCTCTTGTTAATAACCATGGCCCAGGATATTTGCGTAACACAGTACATTCCTCGGGTGACACAGTCACCTCAGCTGAGTCATGTCTCACAAAGTATGAGCAATGGCTATTATCCTCATTTTGGAAAGGAAGAAACTGGGGCCAAGTGACATCAAGAGCCACACACTAATGAGTGAGGAAAAAAAATAGAGAAATTCAGGACCCCAACACGCATTTATACTTCTACTGTACCTTCCATCATGCCTTCCAGCACAAACCTTTTACTGCAAAACCTGGTGGGGCTCCCAATTCCTTCCCTCATGTCCTGTGCCTCCAATATATGAGAAGAAATTACTCTCTTATTATTATATTATACCCTCATCCTGGCAGGAGGCTCCACACCCTTTTCCCCCAGTGTCCCTGGTCATCCTGCTGACCAGTGCGTCCCATCCTACCACCATCAAAAACAACTCCAGGGTCCATTTGCTCCTAGAACTCTGCAAGTGGAGGCATCTCCATCGCATCCCCAGCTGTCCAGGATTTGTCTCCTCAGTGCCCAGCCTGACTTTTGTTCTTCCTCATTCCAGGTCAACAAGAATGTGAGAGCCCAATGCTCCTCGCTGCTCACTCCTCACCGCCCTTCTCTCCCTCAAGCAGAGACGCGCCCTCAGCCTCCATGAAGGAGAAGGCTCCCTCCACCTCTCGGGCCCCACTGACAATGCCACCAACTGGATCCTACCAGATATTTGCAATCAAGATGTTGAAGAGCTGCCAAATGCTGCTACCACTCCTTCTGTCCCCCCACTGCTGCTTGTCACCGCCCCATGTTCCCAGCAAAGGCAGAGGCTACTGCAGCTTCTCCTGGCTGTGGCCCCCCTCCCCCTGCCAGAGATGCCCCACTGGGTGGTGGATCACCAGGGGGTTCTCTCGGGTTCTAGCTCCTGGAGAATGTTGTGAGCAGCTTATATTTTTTTTAAATAGTGTTCATAAAGAAATACATATCACCCTTTTCCCCAAGATGCGGGGGAAATTATCTCATTATCTAGGCCCTGCTGTGCTGTGTATCTAAGCCACATTGTATATTCTGCTGCCCTGGCTTCATTAAAAGTGATTTGGAAGAGCAAAGACTGTCTCCTGTTTGACTGGGTTTGGTCGGGGTCACTTTCAGCTCACTGTTGATCACTAGCTGAGCAGAAGGAAACCAACACATTTGTCTATGATGACATCCAGGGAGCCTAACTCAACAAGCTGCATAAGCCAACCTCTTCTTGGAAGAACCTCTAAAAAATTCCACTTAGAAGGCTGTGCTGGGGGCAAGGCAAACCCACTTAAAAGCTTGGGTCCCTATTCTTCCGTTTTCATGCCACACCACTGGGCCACTATGGCAGGAGGCCCGTGGACATGGGTGGTAGCAACTGTAGTTAAAATCTGGCAGACAGGGACCACACAGCAAGTATCCCCAAAATGCCACCCACTGCCTCCTGTCCCCCAGGAACATTGCCTTTGCCTTTCCTTTCAGACTGATTTCCCGTAGAAACTGTACATTGTCCCACAAATTCGTGGCTGGGGACCACCCAATAGTCCACCGCCTGGGTCCCAACCCAGGGCCCAGCTCCTTGGGGGGGTGGGAGGGGCACGGGGAGGAGCATGTGACCCTAGCTAGACTTTGTACTCCCACCATCCCACCATCCTGGATGTGAGGATAAGAAAAGGGGAGATGAGCTCTCTCCCCTCGAGCCCAGGAACTAAGCCAGGGAGAGTAGATGTCTCAAGCCCTCCCTGGAGGACAGAAGGTGGGACCCCCTGAGGCCCCAGGAAACTCCTGAGCCTCCTGCCGCCTGAGCACCTTTCCTCGTGTCATAGATGCTAATGGGAACCCCCCTCAGCGATCACTCAGCCATTCAGCTCTCAATTACTGCTATGAAGACTAAAGCCTAGCCCAGCCTGCGTGAGCATCGGCCCATGACCCAGGAGGTCATGCTTCGTTTCCCGGTCACATGCCTGGGTTGCGGGCTTGATCCCCAGTATGGGACATATAGGAGGCAGCCAATAAATGATTCTTTCTCATCATTAATGTTTCTCTCTCTCTCTCTCTCTCTCTCTCTCTCTCTCTCTCTCTCTCTCTCTCTTCCTCTCTGAAATCAGTAAAAATGTAATAATAATAATAATTAATCATAATAAACAGACTAAAGCCTAGTGGTCGGAGGGCATCCTATCTCCAAATACCTCTAAGGCCCACCTGCATGTCTCTGACCACATCAGTTAGAAACATGCAAGTCCTTCCGGCTACCATCCGGGCCTGCTTCTGTTCACGGCGACAGAGCCACCAGCTCAGCAGGTGACCTGGGTATACCCCCACCGCCATAAGCTCCAGGGTCACCACCTGTAAAGTGTCAGCTGAGACTGGAGGCTGCCTCCAGCTCCATGCACCTCTGATTCGGAGGCATCCGTGGAACTCCGCTGTCCGTGTCCTGGCCAGCCCCACCAGGCGTAGTTACAATCCCCAGCTCCCTGAGCCGCTTCATCTGCAGCCGCAACACAAGTCCCTTTAAAGATCACTAATAGGAAAGGTCTCCGTGAAAGTCCCATCACCGCGGCTCACTCACACGCAGGAGGACCGGAACCTCCCTCCCAAAAGCGGGACGTGCCGCCTGCAGGGAACGCAACGCTGCCTGCTCATCAGCCTGACACAGGGCCGGCGATTCCACCACTGGGGGTTTCTGTCCATTAATTCTCTTCCCCGTATTAGATGAAAATGTCCCTGGGAGAGCTAACAGAGCAAGTGTTTATCAACCGTTAAAACCTTAGCACAAATGAGTTTGTCTTCTTTCTCTCCTAAAGTGCTCATTCACTTCGGTCTGGATACAAAAGGTCAAGCGAAGGACAAGTAGGTGGCCAGGGGGGCAGGTCTGCGCCTGAGAGGTGGTTGCAAAGATACTGAGGCTGAAGGGGACGCGGGCTTGGGGCAGGGACCCTGGAAGGCAGTAAAGGGCCCAAAGACAGGCCCCTCCAAGGACCCTGGAGGAGGCCCAGACCGAAGGAGGCCAAGGGAGCCTGCGGAGTGGTGCCAGCCCAGGGCCTCGGAGGGCAGGGCCCACAGTCACGGGACTCCTAAGGCCGCCGAGGACTTGTGAGGTGACATGGCAGTGGCTGGCGATCCACCCAGACGCTGGAGGGAGTCAGGCCTCCTCCTCCCACGCCCTGTCCAGGTGGAGGGTGACGAGGCCTCAGGCAGGTGGGAGGCCATCTGGACATATGGTCAGCACTGCCCCCTAAGAAGCTTTCAGCTCAAACCGGGGGTTCCTCAACCCCGGAAAGAACTTTCCCCTAAGTCTGAGGTTGTTAAGCCTAAAGCCCATTAAGGCCCAGTCAGAAAGCAACCCAGGGGCCACGGGATGTGCTGTGGGGGGAAGTGGGTACAGAGATACCCTTGGTCCACTCTGTGCTCACATCTGGCCCCGGCCCAACTGGGGACGTCAGGGGAAGCAAAGTGGCCTTGTAAGGAGGCCCAGGGGAAGGGCCCCTGAGCCCACCAGGAGGGTCAGCGCTGGGCTGGGCCGGTGCAGCAGGGACCAGGTGCTGTCCAGCCTGGAGGGAAGAGGTCGCATTGGAAACCTGGAGACGTGGTCACCAGGTCCGTCTGGAGGCCCTGCCACGCAGAGCCTGAGTCCCCGTGAGCAGGGCCCAGCTTCAAGGAGGGAAGGCTGCCCTCCCAGCCGAGCTCGTCACAAAGGCCAGTTAGAGAATGGATGTCTCTGGACAGCAGGGCTACTGCCCCTAAAGGCTTCCCCTCAGGCCAGCCCTGGAGGCAGAAGAATGGACCAAATGGCTTCTCATGAATTCAGGCCTAAGAGTCAGATCCTCTGACACTTCACGCAGAGACCTGCCCACTGAGGACAGTCGGAATCACAGTCCAGTCAGGAGAAGGGCAGACTAAGCAAGTATGTGCTCCAGGAACTCCTCTGCCGTGACCCACCCCTGGAGAGGCAGCCACCTACGTCTTGATTGTTTATCGTCTTGGTTTGCCCATAAAATTCAACTCCCCTACAGTTACATGGAAAGCCCTTTACAGATATCACCTTTTCAGGCAACATCTCGGCAAGAAATGCCACTGGCCTGTGAGCACTTTGGATGGGAAGTGCACCTCGTTCCCCCCTGTGTCTGCAACACCCAGCACAGTGCCTGGCTCACAACGCGTGCTCAATATACACTTAACCAGCAAAAGGACAAATAAACAATTAGTGTGATTGGGTACTTGGGAGGGAGCCAAGTTAGAGGGGGAGCATAAGAGAAGGGAAGGGGGGCCCTGACCGGTTTGGCTCAGTGAATAGAGCGTCGGCCTGCAGACTGAAAGGTACCAGGTTCGATTCCGGTCAAGGGCATGTGCCTTGGTTGCGGGCACATCCCCAGTGGGGGGTGTGCAGGAGGCAGCTGATCGATGTTTCTCTCTCTATCCCTCTTCCTTCCTCTCTGTAAAAAATCAATAAAACGTATTTTAAAAAAAGAGAGAGAGAGAGAGAGAGAGAGAGAGAAGGGAAGGGGGGATGAATAGAGGGGGTGGCCTGTTTCACGGATTTGCCAAGAGCAACCTGTCAAGAGCTACCAGGGAAAGTAAAACCTCAGGGAGGGCCCTTGGCCAGTGCAGCCCCCACGGCACTCGGCTGATACATCCTGGCGGGTGGTGACTCTGGGAAGGCAACGGGGCATCCAGCGTCAGCGCTCTGGTCACTGAGCCGCCGGGCCAACGTCCAGGGCTGAAGGTCCCATTACCACTCCGCCTCTCATTCTCCACGTCTCATCTTAACGCCCCTTCTCCAATCTACCTCCGGGGGCAATGGGTGGGCCGGGGGAGCCAGCTGCGGTCTTTCTGTTAATAACTATACTTGTTGATGAGGACCCGACACAGGACCACAGGCCCTGCCTCTGCGTAAGGCCACCTGGTTTGCAGGCTTTGTTTCATCCAGACACGCACGCGTGAGGTTTCCTCTGAGCATCACATTAATTTTGAAATTAATAAACAGGTCAGACAGTGAGTCAGTAGCCAGAAGTAGGACAGGAAGTGGAAAAAAGTCTCCCACTTCCCTCCAGGTGTTTGGGGGCTTGGGACAGCCCCTTCCCATTTCCATGACGTCATGGTTGCCGAGAGGGGCAAGTAGGGCACCCTTTGAAGCTCTCCCGCAAAAGCCACATCCTCTGGAAAGAAGAGTTAAAAATACTGAGTTCGAGATACCATCGCCCTAGGCCACGTGCCGAGGCCAGGCAGCCGGGCCGTTACACCGCCAACCACAGGTGCGGCAGGAAGGCCCCACGCAGGAGGGGCTGGCAGCCCCGCCCAGCAGCAGGCTGAGATGCTGCACACCCCATCACTGAGAGGCCTCCCCGCCCCACCTCTGCACCCCCCTTCTGAACCAAGCCCTAAGATCAAACCGTGATCTCACCTCATTAAACCCTTGCTTAATACAGGACAGGCCCTCAACGCTTAAGTCCAGCTCACCTTCCCCTAGGAGGTGTGGGGGTCACATCTGTCCACAAACATAGCTGGAGCTGGTTCTCAAAAACAAAAACAAAAAACAAAACAAAAACCTCCATTCCAGGCAAGGCCGGAGTGATGGCCCTGACTGACATCTGCTTCTCAGAGACCAGAATACCAGAATTCAGGACGCGAGGGGGCAAGGGGCCTGAAAGCTGAGACCAGAATCTAAGACCCAGGGAACGAACTCAGGACTTGGACATCCTGCATTGTGGTATGTCCTCAGCCATCCACCTGGGGGCAGCAGCGCTCCACCAAAGAGGCCTCTTTCTCCTCAATCTGTTCAATCTGGGGATAGAAAACCCTCAAAGCTTAGGAAAACCTCTTTTCCAAGGAAAATAAAGGGCAGGTGACTTATTCTGTGAGCCCCTGCCCTTTGCCAGTTACTGCACTGGGCTCCCGGCCCGTGTAATCCTGTCACCCCAAGGAGAGAAAGTCTGGGACTGGCCCCACAGGCAGCAGGGGGCACCCCTTGCCTAGGATCCTCAGGCCTGCTCATCCAGAGCACCAAAGGGAGCCCTGAGAAAGGGACCCCTGAGAAAGGGACTGGGCAGCCCTGCTGCCTGGGGGAGCAGAGTCCGAATCAAGT